GCGGCGGCGCGGGGCCGGCTGGCGGCGGCGCTGGTGGCCAACCTGGGCTCGTCCATCTGCATCGTGTTCCTGAACAAGTGGCTGTACGTGCACCTGGGCTTCCCCAACCTGAGCCTCACGCTCGTGCACTTCGGCGCCACCTGGCTCGGCCTGTCGCTGTGCCAGGCGCTGGGCGTCTTCGCCCCCAAGAGCCTGCGGCCTGGCCAGGTGCTGCCGCTGGCCCTCAGCTTCTGCGGCTTCGTGGTCTTCACCAACCTGTCCCTGCAGAACAACACCATCGGCACCTACCAGCTGGCCAAGGCCATGACCACCCCGGCCATCGTGGCCATCCAGACCCTGGCCTACGGCAAGACCTTCCCCCTGCGCATCAAGCTCACTCTGGTGAGGGGGGCCCTCTGCCACCGGGGCTCAGAGAGCTTGGGGTGGACCATGGCCGAGGGTGTGTGGCAGGGGCCTTTCCCTCACTTGCTCTGCCTCTTCCAGGCTCAGCCCTTTGGCAAAGCCTCTGGGCAAGAAAGGCAGGCTGGGCTGCTCTGTGCTGGGGTGCCGCTGCCTTGGGCACATCCTGGTCCCTTAAACCCCCTGGAACTGACACCACAGCCCCCCCACGGGCCCTGACAGGCCACTCAGCAGAGCCCTAATGTCTGGCTCAGGCTTGGTGGGTTTGTGGCAGTTTTCTGCTTTTCACGTGTTGAGGGATACGTGGCTCGAGTCTCATCTGTGACAAGCCTGGGTAGGAGCCAGCCCGGGACAAAAATGCAGGCCTGCCTGAAGCAGTGAGAGGAGGACATCTGCAAAGTTGCGTGTGGATGCTGAATGTCCGGGGTTCTTGTTCTGTAACTCCTGGAAGCCCTGGGGAATCCTGGGTCAGCTGGTTACTGGATGGATGGGGGAAGGCACTTCCAAAGCATCATGGGTAGACTAAGTTTCAAGCTTTTGACTTCCGCCTCCAGTAAATGTAAATAATATGAACTGCTCTGTGTTTTTTCTTGCAGATTCCCATAACTTTAGGTGTGTTCTTAAACTCCTATTACGATGTCAAGTTTAACTTCCTTGGAATTGTGTTTGCTACCCTGGGTGTTCTGGTTACATCTCTGTATCAAGTGGTTGGTAACTATTATTCTTTCTTTCTTTTTTATTTTTCACCAAATGTTGCAACAGAACTGACTGTTTCAAATAGTGGAACATAATGTCAATGAGCTGAATGGTCTAAAAATGTTTTAAAGCTATTGCAACACTATACCAGCACCTAGATGGGAAAGACATTTCATTTAATAGACATCTCTTTGTTCTAGCAGAAAAAGGTATATAGATACAGTGACTAAGATGCTTGTGGGCTATTTCAGAAAATGTGCACATTTTTAACAGTAGAAGGGACTGACCATTGGTACAGTTTATTTTAGGATTCTAAGATTATAAAATTATAGGGGATTATTGTGGACATCTAGGCTGCTCTCCTGTCTTAATGCAAGACATTGGGCTTACCTGAGTTGATATCTACTTGAATTGGCATATATCTTTTAGAAAAGACAAACATCCATTCTTGACTTAAAAATGTCTAGTCACAGACAATCTACCACAGTGCTTGGTGAGTTGTTCTAGTTTTGATTATCCTTGAGAGTCAAAACTTTGTGGTTACTTTCATCTTCCAGCTATTGGATCTTCTTACACTTTTGTCTGAGATTGAAGAGCTCTCTATTATCAGAATTCTTTCCCTGTTAGTAACCCCTTAACCTTCTCTTTGTTAAATTTAACAGATTGAGCTCCTTGTGTCCCACTTTAAGGCATGTTTTCTAATCCTTTAATTATTCTCTTGGCTCTTCCCTAAACCGTCTCCAATTTTTCAACATCCTTCTTGAACTGTGAATACTACAGTGGGACACTGTATTTCAGTAGTGGTTGCACCCATGATAAATAAAGAGGTAGTATAGCATTCCTGTCTGACATTCCCCTGTTTATGCATCCAGGGCTACATTTAGCCCTGGCCTCCCACTGGAAGCTCAGAGTTGGCCTATTATCCACCAGGATCCCAAAGTCCTTTTATGAATTCCTTTTTCCCAGGATAGAGTTCTCATCCTGTTGAGGTGGATCCTTCATCACTTGATATCTTTAGATCAAAATGCCTAGACTAGATGTCTTTCTGATTCACAAGTGGTAGCACAAAAATTAGCTCTGGGTAGAGTGAATTGGTTGGCCTGTATTTCAAGAGGTCAGACTACATCAGGGGTGGCAAAATGTGGGCTGCGGGCTGGATGCGGCCTGCCAAGCCATTCTATCCTGGCTGCAGGACCCCTAAAAAAAATTTAGAAAATTAATATTCATCTGCCCTGGGGTGCCTGTCATGTGGCCCTCAATGGCTTGCCAAAACTCAGTAAGTGACCTTCCGCCCAAAATAATTGCCCACCCCTGGACTACATGAAGATAAAGGTTCCATTTAGTCTTAAAATGTATTAAAAGAAACAAGAAACAGGCAACGTTACCTGGAATGGCCAGACTGTGTGTATCTTGCAGAAATCTTAGTTGCTATTTAGGTGAAATCAGGTTTTGTCCTTTCACAGAAAGCTCTGATGTGTTTTAATTTAGAACTGTGATCATTTCACTATATTAATTTTATTAAATGTTAGCTGTAGAGCATTTCTTCAGTAAAATGCCAAAGTAAGCATTAAAAATCCTTTGTCTCCCAGCTTTTTATAACATTCATCTTAGTAATCATAGAAACTAACATGCAGCAATTATTCTGAATTATGCATATTGTTTAAATTGGAGTTTTCTATATCAAAATAAATTCATGCATAGTATAACTGAAAGCTAAATTGGTATTCATCATGCATATTTGCTCATATAGTGGTTAATGATAAATGAAGTGGAAAATAAAAAGGAGGAGATAAGGATAAGTAACATACATATTATGGTAGGAGCTTTATTTGTAATGTAATGATACCATGTAGTACTTGAAATATTGGTTCCCTGTGGACCTCTGTCATAAGGATACACTGCAAAGTTGTTATACTTTGAAGAACAACATAAAATATTCTGTTAAAATATGTGAGATTTTTAACAGTTGTATGTTGATAGCATGCCAGTAACATGGTGTAGTCTGTTGCAACTTTGATAATCATGTTGTGGCATCCCCCAATACAGAATATTACAAGTACTAGTAGATCTCACAATTTTGTTTGCTCTTTTTGTGGAAGGCACTCAGTATGTTTTTATGCTTGGTTCAGAGTGTAGTATTAGAAAGACAGAAGCCAGCAGTTTTACAACCCTTCCACTGTTCTATCTGTACCCGGGTAGAAGACTTTTCTCATAAAATATGGGAAGAGATATAGGAGAAACAAAGGGAAAAAAAAGTCAAGAGCTAACTATTAGATAGCTTGTTGAAAGAAATTATTCATGTTCTTTTTTTTTTTCCCTCGTCAGTCTGCTCAGCACTGCCTACCCAGAGTAAAGTGAAGACCAGTACATCTCTGGTTGAGACATAAGGAGAGGTGGAAAACAATATTGTCCATATTAAATTCCCTCCACATCAGTAACCAAGTTTGCTTTTATGTTAGGGTTTGATTTTTCTCATGTTTAACACCATTTTTCCTTTTGGTTTTAGTGGGTGGGAGCCAAGCAGCATGAGCTGCAGGTGAACTCTATGCAGTTGTTGTACTATCAGGCACCAATGTCCTGTGCCATGTTGTTCTGTACTGTACCCTTCTTTGAGCCAGTATTTGGAGAAGGGGGGATATTTGGACCATGGACGCTTTCTGCTGTGGTAAGATTTATTTCTTCTTTTTATTTTATTTTAAATTAGATACCAGTGCTTTCATCACTTAGTACAACAGGTTCAAATATCACTTTTGACAGTAAAGGAAGTGAGAGAGGTGACTTTGTGCCACTTTGGCATCTTTGTCAATGGATTTGACTGTCTTTTTCAGCCCATTCATCTTTGCATGTAGGAGTCTTAGTTGCAAGAAATCAAGGAAATGGCAAATTACCTTCAATATACCTACTGCATAAAATTGTTGTGTGAGGGCTCAGTTGAATTTCTGGGGCCGCTGCCTCAGACAGAGGGAATAAAGAAGAAACAATGCGTGTTGTAGTTCTGTTTGCCTTTCACAAACATGTTCTGAACTTCTTACTCAAGTTGTCTGCACTGAATTTGAAATAATATTTGCTTTATTCTGTTCTCAATTTTATTTGTTCTCTTATGTGATGTTTCCTGATTTGTATTTGAAAGTAAAGAAACTTACTTAAACAACTTGAGGTGTAACTGAAGACAGTGAGAAATATGTTGGATTACTGACTATGTCTGTTAATCCACAGATAATGGTGCTGCTGTCTGGTATAATAGCCTTTATGGTAAACTTGTCCATTTACTGGATCATTGGAAATACCTCTCCTGTCACGTATCCTTTGTGTTTGTCACTTCCTATTTTCAGATGAATAGGATTTGTGGTAACTCAGCTATATATTATAATGGAAATAAAAGCCTGGGCAAATTGGTAATTTACCAACTTTATCCTGAATGTTACAATTGGAAGAGCTCAATCCAGTTTTAGCCTGTTTTCTTATGGTTCATTTAGACACTGGTCGTTAATGCAGTAATGTGATCTTTTTGTCTCTGAGAACATTTGCATGTACCTTTGTGGCTGTCTGTAAGAAGTGTATAAAGTGATTGTTGTTTATGTGTTGGTTGATTTGTGCAGCAAATTGGATGAAACATCTCATGTGAATGCAATTTGTCACGTATCATAATTGCACAGATTAAAGTGGAAAGTTGTGGGGAAAGAAATCTATGTGAAATGCCACAGGTTATTTTTGGTTTAGATGGTGATTTGTTTTTTTGACAATTGTTATCCTTAACAGATACGCAGGTATAATATGTTTGGACATTTCAAGTTCTGCATCACTCTTCTAGGAGGGTACATCTTATTTAAGGATCCATTATCAGTAAATCAAGGTCTTGGGATTCTGTGCACATTGTTAGGCATTTTAGCATATACTCACTTCAAACTTGGTGAACAGGAAAGCAGTAAGAGTAAATTGGTTCAGTGTCCATAAACCAGCATTTCTTGGGAAAAGCATTCATCGTATCGGGGTAAATGCTGTAAGAGTTGCTGTGACTTTCACATCCATACCAAATGAACTAATGGTGGCTACTCTTTCAGTAAATATTGAAGGAATTCTGACTCTGTGATCCTGACAGGTATTGTTATTATTATTATTGTAAAGAAGCTTTGAGGCCTATACATGCAGATATTCCAATATATAAGGACACTTGCTGCCTTTTTGACTTTTAGACAATGAAAGGGCACCTTGCTTTTTTGCTGTTTATGTTAAAAAAGCTGTCAACCAGAACTCTGATTTCAACATGATTCCTTATGTATAGGGATCCTGGTCTTCTCTGATTTAAAAAAAAATCCCTAATTTCCAGTAAAAACAAAAAAAGTAACCCCAAATCCACATTTTTCTGTCATTTAAATGAAACACCACTAATATATATATGCATGCATACATACAGTGGTGGTTCATTTTAAACATGGAAAAATGTGGATTTGGAATTACTTTTTAACCAAAAAATAGGGATTTTTTTAAATCAGAGAAAAGCAAAATATATATGCATGGATCCTGGTTAACTATGTGAATTACTTTCAGCTGAATGGTTTGAGTAGAATTATTAGTGAAATGATGAATGGAGACAGCAGCTGTAATGATCAACTTGAACCAGCTCCCCCCCTACCCCCAATGCTGGAGATGCACTTTGAGTTAATCTTTACAACTAACAGTATTTGATAAAGTCACTGATATTTGGAACATTTCCTGTTTCTGCTTCACAATTTTCTTACATTAATGAAAATTGCTTTATGGCTGGCACGTGGAAATATTGGGGGCAGCTAAAAAACTGTCCAGACAGGGCCCAAAGGGATCTTTTTAATAAGTATGTGTAAACTGTCATTGGGGTAGAAAGTGATGTGAACCTCATACTGTTTTAGTTTTTGCTCTTCTGCATCTCACCCATGCAGACACCTTTCCCTGAAAAGGTTCACTGTTAGTATAAGAACCCAAAGAATTGCTGGGAATCTTATGTTGGGGTCCCTTCAGGAAATCTGCAGCAACCAATGAGGAGCTTGTGGTGGGCACATGTTCTGCAGTAATTTGTGGTGTATAAATGACTGCTCTGTGCCAAAGCCAGGCTTAGTTTTTTAGCCATTTGGGAAAGGCTAAAGAACCATCTTATAAAAAACATTAACATGCCAGTTTTCCTGCTTTCAGTAAATCTGTTAAATGTGTTTACCAGATCTGCAAGTGCTTAAAATTTATTTGCACTACTTTAGTCATTGCATTTTTATGTCTATCTGCAGTAGTTTTAAGTTATAAGCAGAAACAGGTGTTTGGGTTTTACAGTAACCCACAAAAATGACTGGATAGCTGGGTCCTCTAAGCTTTTTAACATTGCAAATGATCAAAAACCTTAATGTTGTTTTAATGTGCAAGAAGCAATCTCAGTCACCTTTTACAGTGAAGCCTGTTTTCAGGCTTGTAAATTATTTATTCAATTTTCAGAGTACTTGATTTTTTAAAAAATCTATTTCTCTTGGGTAGGGTAGCCTAAGTTTACATCATACTACTCTGTATTGTTTCAGTATTATGAACAGCTAAAGAATTTTGTGTCTTTACCAACTGTGTCTTAGGCATTGTACAGGTCCAAGGAAAATTTCTTTTATAAACATTTTTATAAATCCTATAATTTGTTAGCTTAAAAACCAATCTGGAGTGCTGAGAAGTGTGTTTAGCACTGTCTGATCTCTAGGTGCACATTCTTCAGTCTGTGCACTGAGAAAGCAGGTTGCACTAATTTGTGCTGTGCACAAGCTCCTCTAAGAATGTCCTTGTGATTTATTTACATTTTAGAGTTAGAAATGAAATGACTGATATAGAAGCCTGTATGACCAGACCTAAGATGGGATTGATGTGAATATATTACATGGGGAGAAAACTAGCCAAAAATGTGTGATAGTAAAAATGGCTCCTTAAAAATGGGACAGGAGCAGATCTTCAAAACTGCAAGAGAAAATTAAGGGAGTGATTTAAACACTGGCTATTTAAGAGGGTACACAATAAATGCACTCTGTTGCTGGAAAGTCCTATAGGGTGCTTGACTGGATTTTTTTCATATATTGAAGTTTTACTTTGGGTTTTGCCCATTATGCCTAATGAATAAAATAATTTCTTGGACTTTTCTTTTTGTCTCTTTCTTTATCAAATGTTTCACGACATTAACAGCCAGACTTACCTAATCTTGGGATGACATTGCTGCCTTGATACAGTTACGTAGCTTGAGCATCAGTGTCCTAGGGAACGCACAGAATTTTAGTTACTTGTTATATTTGTGGGGAAAGAATTGCTGCTGCATATGTTTCCTGGATTGATTGAATTGGCTGGCTCTTTACTTAAATACAGCATCTGCAATACAAGACACAAAGCTACAAGTGGTGCTAAACTTGTATATGTGGATGCACCCTTTGTAGTTTTTGTTTAGTTAAGCTAATTGTACACACAGGAGGCTCTTTTCATCCCTCTTCTACCTGTCAGGCTCTTCGTGTGCCATCCTCCTCTACTTCAGGGGTTCCTTATAAACTCATTTGGTCTCTTCACTCATGCAAGGGACTGCGTATGTTCCCCATCTTCACTATAGCTTTTATATGTGGCATTATTCCCCCCACCCTTTCCCCATAACTGGGGACTCTGTAGTCATCCTTTATCCCTGCACTAGGGTCCCTGTATATCCACCCATCAACCCTTGTCTGGTGGCAGGGATCCTGCTTTCTCCACGAGCCAGAGCTCTGTGTGTATGAAGAAAGAAGTCTTTCAGGTTGTCCACCTTTTAAACAGTATGGGGGATCTTGGGCAGAAATGAGATGGGGCTGGAAAATGAAAATGGTTGCCATCAACTGGTTCTTGCATGTAGAAACAAGTATTTGGATTTGGTGGTCCTGGGACATCTGCTCGTTAGGTGCTCTGTGAGTGTTTTGTATTTTTATTACGAATGTTCTCTGTGCTAGAAGTCATGTAGTGAAAATGCAGCCAAACTTGGCAAACCTGAGGTAAAAGTAATCCTGCTTACTGGAAGGGGGGGTGGGGTGTTTGTTTTTGGGTTTGGGGTTTTTTTATATATACAAATCAATAATCTGTCTGAAGTTGTTTGTTCAATGGGGGGGAAAAACTGGTTCTAATACACAAAATGTTATTTTAATATTATTCTGACGTCTCTATTTCAGTTACTTTTGTTTGCATGAAGAGGAAAAACACAATTAACATCTTTAGTATGTGTGGTTCCTATCTTTTACCTGACCTTACCAGTAGAATTGCACTGTATATGATATTTTAACAACCATAACTATATATCCAATGAGCAGCTACTGAAATAATGCATTAGAAATATACCTGGAATGCATTTGTAGGCTTATTATATTTGTTCTCCAGTGTACTCACTACGCTTTTATGCTTCCTTAAGTGAAGGGGCAGCAGCAGTACACTAAAATATTGTTATATTCTTTATTTAAAGGTCTTTGAGGTTTGGGGAGAAACGAATCAAGGGGTTCTCTACTAAAACCAGCTCTAGGTTTGCAGGAAGACTGCAATGAGTAGTAAATATGTGTTGCTTGTTGTTGGACTTCATTTTCCAAAGGTGACTGAGCTGTGTTAAGGAGCTAGGCCATGGTTCTATCCTATGATGAAAATGCAAAGCATCCCCTGTATTAGCAGTTCTTTCTAAATTTTCTCGATATTGCTACCACCACAGCAGTTCCAAGTTGGAGTGCTTGGCTTGACATGCTGCTGGCACTTCAACCACCGTGTTATCTGAGCATACTCAAAGCAGACTGACTCTGGTTAAAACACCAGTGGCTTGTGGCATCTTGTCTTTACTGGCACTGTTGCTGTCAGAGATATTGCTGGGAAATTCTAAGGGGAAAAAGTCTGAGGTCACTGTCCTCTGATGGGTTTTTTTACCCCTAAAAAAGTAAAGATTAAGCCTTGATTTTTTTTATTTTTTTTTTTTTTAATTTGGCTCGCATTAGGACTGTTCACTATTTCAAGGCTCACTATTTTCTGTAACGTTGATAACCTTGTGCGTTTGGCAGCATTTTGTATCTGCTGATCTTCTATGACTTGATAAGTTAGGGTAGGGGTTCAGTGTACTGTTCCAGGGGAGTTTTTGCTGATGGGAAAACAGCTGCATTCTTAGACTTGAGGTAGAAGGAATGTGTTGTGCAGCTTCTCGGTGAAAAGGGAGCTTGTCTTCCTGCAAGTCTGCCTTCAGGACAGAGCTCCAGTTCAGCAGAAATATATGCTGGCTCTGTCTGCTTGTGCTGAATGAATGCATGGTTGTAGCAGGGGCCAAAGGAACATTAAAGCCTTATTCAGTCTGCCTGTCAGTTGATTAAGTTTCTCTGAGACATACCAGCAGGTAGATCACTTTTGATAAAGGGCTTATTCTGTAGATAAGGCTAGGAAAAAAATATTTGTGAAGCTCTGAAGATAAAAATGACTGATTTCCAAATGACTTCACACACAGCAGTAGCTGCAGAAACATTTAAAGCGTTTGGATATATAACTTGGTTCTAACCAACTGCGGATTTAGCACATCTGCTCTGTGAAACTCACTGAAATACACCCCCCTGCACCATCTGGTTTTTGTCTGTTTATGCACTTGGGTTGTAAATGCTCAGGGATTTTGCTCTTGCTTAACACCTGTGAGGGAATACAAATTTGTTGCTATACAGATAGTAGTAATACATTTGACAATGATATAGTTATAGGCCATGTGGTAGTGCCCTGCTAGTGATGATTGCCAGCATACTTGGAAAAGCAGGAAAGAGGCAGAGGCAACAGGGACTCAATAGATGATGGGCAAGAGAACCCTTTGGCTGCAGTTTTCAGAAACTGATGGAAAGTTTAACTAGGCAGGAGGTTGAAAAGCCAGTCTGCTTGGAAAATGTTTTGTTCCCCAGTCACCCTGTGCTCATCCCATTTGATTAGTGGGTGCTTTACCTGCATTTTAAATACAGCAGAACTGAAGCTATCATGCACTGGAGTAGCTTAGTTATAGAATAGTACCTCCTTTTAGCAAAAACAAAACATATATAGTGATGGTAAGTAAACAGTGAAGGCTGGTAAAAGATCTTGAAAACATGTTTCACTCTCATAATTTCTAATGAGGCAGTTCTGTCTTCTTTTCAAACACTTGTCTACACTCAGTTATCACTAAGTACCTCTTCCTGGGCCACTGAACTCCATTCCTTAAAAAATCATTTTCCTTTTGCTGCTTCCTTTATCCCCCCCACCAATGTTCCAGCCTTTGTATTTGACATCACAGTTAATTACTATGGAGACTGTGGTGTCACTTGCAGAAAATTATTACCTTAAGGAAGGGAGGAATAAGCAGCAGGAGCTGATGACTTCTTGAGCTATGGAGTTTCTAGTTTCAGACAAATAAACATCATGAGAAACCCCCGCAGGCTAAGAAATACAGTGCAGAAGAGGCTCTTAGTTTATCTCCAGGTGATTTTCTTCAAAGAATCAAAGATCAGAATTGCATGTGAACTTTCACTACACCATAATACTGCACACTTGGTTTAGAATAGCTTTCAGTAATGTTTGGAAATATGAATCCCATGTGAATAATAAACAATTGGCTGCAGTAATTGTAAAACTGCATCTCATGGAGATTTTACCAGAGTGCTCTCTTAGAGGCTGTACACTTCTTGAGAGAAGGAGAGAGCTTTTGCCTCGCCTCCGGTTCACATTGTGGAACTTAAATTATGAAGTCCTTTTTGTCTAGTTTGCTTTTTTAAAGTTCTTATGTTGTAATACTCCAGGAACTAAAAGGATTCTGTTATACCCATCACCCTTGCACCAGATCAGCTGTGCTGTGGACCCAGCCAAGGCTTTGGGCTGGTGGTTATGATCCGCTCTGTACTAGGCCTATGGTAAGAAAGAGTGCAGAGCAGGTCCCCCACCTTCTGCAGCCTTGGGCAAGCACAAAACCCTGCCCTGTTCTCCTTGGCTGAAGCAAGAAAAAAAGATCTCTTTCCTGTTTCAGAGTGTTTTAAACCCATGATTTAAATATATATGTTTATATGTTTCAACTAGTTCTGGAAATCAGAGAAAATATGCCTGAATATTTACATTATTACCCAAGACCTCGACCTTTTCCCTTCTCACCTGGGTCCCTTACCTGTTGCACAGAGTGTGCACCCTGGATATGCCCTCCAACGTAGTAAAAAGTCAACTTTTCCAAGAAATGTGTAGGGAGTCATGTAACCTAAGATAATACGTAATTTGCTGATATGGTGCTTGTGTGTCCCTACATAGTTCCTGTAGTTAAGCAGTGAATGGGCATGTTTGCTATTATGTGTAAAGCAAGAACCATGACAGTCTAGTTGGCAAACTAACTGCAGCAGCAATGAGGAATAAATTATTTTGTTTGAAGTGGGCAATTAAGGGAGGCTTGAGGAAAACTCATAAAAATATCAGTAACTTTTTTGGACTGAGAATGTGTGTTCCATATCAAAGCACACAAATATGCCAAAAAAACTAGCTAGTTAACTAACTCCAACAGGATTCACAAGAAATGTGTCACAGATGAGACAGACTTATTTTGATAACCATTAATAGTAAAAAGATGGCTCTGTTACCTTCAGAGCGGATAGAGGACCTGAATTGGCCAGTCTTCCCTGGATGAAGCGTAAAAAAGAATTGCAATTTCTAATGACCTTGGGAAAGACAGCTTTTAAGTTTTTAAGTGGGTTAGTTTCTCCACCTCTGCCTATGTTCAAATGGGAAAGTTCATGTAGAACCCGCATGTCCATTAGAGGCTTGGAACCTCCGGAAGAGAGTACTAGGCTGAAAAAACAAAGTATCAGATAATGGGATAAGGGAATAAACTGAAAAATGTACACAGGAACTTATGTCCCATGATTTTCAATATGGTACCTAAATGTGGGCATTAAACTTCATTGTTAGGTATTGGGATAAATTGATCAGACTTTTCAGAGATGAACAGGCAACTTTCCTCTACTTCCATGGCAGTAAATAGAGAATGTCAGATTCTTGCATCCTGAAAAGGAGGCTGCTTTCTTTTAGATGCATTACTTTGGAGTTAGAGATCTTATTTTGGGAACCTATATGTGACATATCTGGCCTTAAACATTGTATCTGTGATACATTCTAACAAAAAGAGCCTCTGTCCTGTTTACCTTAGGTGAGTCCCTCAAGATTTCTGTTGTCTTACACTATTTTGGGGGGGGGAGCAATGCTTTTCACATACTTTGTATTTTTATTTTTCTCTGACTGGAGTTACTGGATAGGTTTAGCTTTGGAATTAAGATGAAGCTGAAAAGATGCAAGTTTCAGCTTCTCTTGACATCATAAATAAGTAATTCCTATAAGCCAAGGTACAGAAGGATTCCAAAACACCGAGGTGTAACTTTATAGCTGAGAAGAAGCCCTTTAGCTGAAAAAGTTTCCATAAAGCAGGTTCAGCTTGAGGTACACATCCAGGAACTAGGGGAAAGGGAACAGCAGCTGCCCTGAAAATGATTATAATCAGTATCTTGGACCAAGTGCTGCAGAGGAAATGACTCTGTAACATTGCACTGCAGGAAACGTGGGATAGAGCAAGCTAAAGCAAGCATCAGAGGTAATATATACACCTTTTAATTCTCCTAGACACAATAATTGCGAGTAATTATTGGTAGAAGAAAATTGTTGGAGATTAGACCCAACTCATTGTAAAAAACAAGGGTGCAGACACATAACAAGTGAACTGTTTCAAGAATGTCACTAATTTGGAACTGGTTCATGAATCGGAGGTATCTGCATATACACAACCAAGGCTGGATCAAAGAAATTGCCTTAAGGCATTGCAGTGCTGACACACTGTCACCAGGGGGTGGGGGTGAGTACCCAGCCCAGCATGCCTCCCAGTGCCTGGAGCTACCCCAGGAATCTAGCCAGGCGGAAGACCCCAATTGCCTGCATGGGGTTGGTTACAGCTGCCTGGACCCCTGCTTGTGCATTGCCAGGGGATGGGGTATTCTGGGGGCTGCACAACGTTTCTGCGTCTAAGCCTGCAGCTTTAAAAACATTTTTTCCTAGAAAGCTGCTCAATTCATTCCAATTCATCTCTCCCCACCCCCTGAGCAATGAGCATTACCAAAACAGACAGTTGTCCTGTGGAAGTTGGAGTAGGGAAGCAGGGTATGCATTGTGGGATGCCTGAAAGACTGACCAGATACTAGTCATGGAAAGCTTGGTGTCCATACATGACACCAAACATTTTTCACAGAGGACTTGATCATCCAGGTATGTTTTTGAAATGTTCCAGGAAGTTTTAAACCATTCTATACTGGCTTGTGCATCTGGACACTAGCAGTTTAAACTGCAGTTTAAAAGAGCTATGTGTTGTGTGTCTGCACCCTAACATGTCTCTGGTGTGAATGTGCTGGGACACAAACTGTGAGACAAGCCAGCCCAGGTAAATGAAAGTCAAATAACAGAGGCAGAAGGCTCAGTCAGCTGCTTTGGGTTTCTGTTTTACATCAGGTGATGTTTACATCACCTCAGTACCTGGCTCAGGAATGTATCAGTGAGGCATGTCACACGTGCTTCCTCCTTCAATGGAAGCAATGCAGTTGCTTTAGAGTGATGCTGGGCATGTCCCAGTCATTTCTTTCTTTTATTGGTGTACTCCTCCTGAGCTGCAGCATCTGTTTTGTCCAGTTTTATTTGTGCCTGTGATGAACTGTAAGGAAGGTGCTTAAGCTGAAACTCTTTGGCTTAAACTCTGGAGGCAAAAGATAGGCTATATTATGTGACAAATTTGAATGGAATCAAGTAAAATATGGGGCAGAACATACAGAAAAGTGAGTGCAGCCTTCTGTGATCAAAAGTAGAAATGATCTGATGTTCATACTTCCCTGGTTTTGTAGAGGAATTGACTCTAGATGGTCTGTGGCAGGGGTTGCCCACCTATGGCATGTGGGTGGCAACTGGCTTGGGGACCACACCCAGAGTGTGGTGGTGGACAGGTCATTCTTGGCCTGGAAGGAGGTGGGCAGTGGGGTCCCACAGGGTTTGGTCCTTGGACCGGTGTTATTTAACATCTTCATCGGCAATTTGGACGAGGGTGTGGAGAGCACCCTCTCCAACTTCACAGATGATACCAAGTTATGGCGCAAAGTTAACACACTGGAGGGCAGGGAGCAGATACAGGCTGGATCTGGACAGGTTGGGTCAATGGGCAGAACGAAATAGGATGCAATTCAATAAAGATAAATGCAAGGTACTCCACCTATGGAGGAGGAATCCCCAACACACCTATAGGTTGGGGAATGACCTCCTCAGCAGCGCAGCGGGATCTTGGAGTCACAGTTGACTGCAAGATGAACATGAGCCAGCAGTGTAACAAGGCCGTCAACAAAGCCAATCACACCTTATCGTGCATTACATTACCAGGTGTATGACCAACAGATTGAGGGAGGTGATGCTCCCCCTCAATGTGGCATTGGTCAGGCCACAGCTGGAGTACTGTGCTGTGTCCAGTTTTGGGTGCCGCATTTCAAGAGGGACACGGAGAATGTGGAGAGGGTTCAGAGGAGGGCCACTCGCATGATTAGTGGCCTCCATGAAAGACCCTACAAGGAGAGGTTGAGGGATCTGGATCTCTTCAGCCTTCACAAGAGACATCTGAGGGGAGACCTTGTAGCCACCTATAAGTTTATCAAGGGAGGATAACAGAGAATTGAAGATGCGTGATCTACCAGAGCACCCCAGGGAGTAACTAGGAATAATGGGTGCAAACTAGTGGAGAGCAGATTCAGGGTTAGACATTAGGATGAGATATTTCACAGTAAGGGTGGCCAGAATCTGGAACGGGCTGCCAAGAGAGGTGGTACTATCACCTAACTTGGAGGTCTTCAAGAGGAGGCTTGACAGTCGCCTGGCTGGGGTCATCTGACCTCAGCCCTCTTTCCTGCTAGGAGCAGGGAGTCAGACATGATGATCCATTGTGGTCCCTTCCAACTCTACAATCTATGAATTCATGCCATAAGCAGAGCAGGCAGCCTGTGTGTGTGGCACGTGATGCATTGGTGAGGAAGAAACACACTGGCAGATAGGGCAGGGAGCAGAAATCAGAGCAACATATCAGGAACGGGATTGGAGAGGCACTTAGAGGGTGTGGGGCTTACTTTGTGGCATGCCTGCCAAAAAGATTGGCCCCCACAAGACTAAATTACCTGCAGCATTTTTCATTAACTTCCAAGATCCTGATGTCAAGAGTTTTTTTTATAAAGCTGACTTTTGTTGCCCCTAGATGGCACTGTTACTAGGACATTCCTGTGATGATCCCTTGTAAATCTACTGGATACAAAAAATCATGGACTCGATATAGACATTGGATTTATGATGCATTACAACCTGCATAACATCTGATTCACCAGCTACTTGCCAGACCTGACCTTTTATACTTTTCTTTCCATCCCCCCACTTCTGCCCTTCCCCTCCTTTTCTACTTTTTGTCTTCCTAATTTCCAGCTATTTCCTTTTTTCACAGACAGCTTCTTTCCTACCTTGGAAAACTACTACAGTAGAGTCTCCCTTACTTACCTTTGGCTTTTTCCCCCCTCTCTTCCCTGCACCGCTACCTTTTTGGTTTTTCTAATTTCCACCTATTTACATTCTCACTTTTAGCTTCTTTCATTCCTTGGAGTCTCAGACAGCAGAGGCTTCCTATGCCTGAAGAAGGGCAATTGCACCCGAAAGCTTGCAAAGACCTTTTTTCCAACTACTCAGTTGGTCTAATAAAAAATATCACATCTACTCAAATAACTTTGCCTGCCCTTGTAAAGAACATGGATTTAATTCTGATCCTAAAACAAAGGTCTCTTGAGTGATTCTTAAAATAAATTTTACCTTGAAGGAATCACTTAGCAGAGGAAGTACAATGCCCTTTTTGACTGACCATGAAGCTTCTCAGTTTGCAGTTTCCCTGCCCCCTCTCCTCCTCACCTCTTCCTTTACAGATGTCCTTTTTCCAGAAATTTTATTTCTTTTTCCCTAACCTTGTCTCCTTCATAAAACATGCACCAGTTCTTGTAATTCAGGCATGCCAAACATCTGGCCCGTAGAGTTGGGTCACCCAGCCCGTGATAAGACACCTTCCCCTGGTGGCAGCCAAGCACCTGGGAGAGACGCGCAGTGCTGGAGCTCCCCAGCTGCGCTGCAGGAATAAGCCTGGCACTGCAGGTTGACTGCCATCATGGGGAAGAAGCATGGTGCTGCTGAGGGGCCAAAACCGTGGCTCTTGCTGCCTTGGCTGCCAAGCACCCACGTGAAAGCACCAGTGCTGGAACCCCGGAAGCACTGTGGAAGCAACCCAGCACTGCAACCTGTTCCTGCAGCAGCAGCCGTGTCCAGGATGCCAGGTCTCTTCCCACCCAGTCCTTGACCGGTTGGAGTGCTGGATCTAGCTCATAGGGCGGGTCCTGCACCACTCGGCCAAGTGAGTTTGATGCCCCTGTTCTTTTATCTGCTTTAACTCCCAAGGCTGTCTTGAGCATTTAGACCTATGTGGCTAGCAGTGGGGGAACCCCCTTATGTTTTCTTTGTTCCACAGTTAATGGAAATAATTTATTTTAAGAATAAAAACAATTCATTTACAAGAATGTTACTCATCCTGTCCAGCTGGGCCCAGTAAGCAACTACATATGTCTACACAGATTCATGTTCTTAACTGAGTGATTGATGATCAGTTCTCCATCCTATGAGCAGAGCCAGCTATATATTTATTTTAGGCAGCAAAGTCCCAGCATTTCTGGGACTTGCTTACTTCCATGATGTGGCATCATTTGACTTTTGTCACTGTCTTGGAAAATGAGGTGTATTGAATCAAGATACAAAGTTGCTTCATGGGTATATTTGTTATTTTTTCAGAAAGAACATAGAAAGAAAGCTGCTACTTCTTCTTCGTTTTGTGTCCTTGTCATAAACTAGATGTTTTTTTCCAGAACCATGCACAAGCAATGACTTTCCACTGCTGTGACGAGGACCTCCTTCATACAGGTCTCACCAAGGAGTCAGCAAACAAGCATGTGCTCCATAGTTTGCATTTCACTGCGCTTGCATCTATTTGTGTCATTAGAGTAGCCCCATTTGATCATGTTTGGTTTTGATCTTCAAGTTTGCATGCACAGGCAAATCGGGCATCACCACGTTAGCTAATCTAGATCCGCCCTTCTTGGAAGGTCTTCCTGGGGTTCCAGGTTCATTTCAGAGCACCTGATTTCATGTAATCTTTCCTCCCATAACTTTAGACCTGCTAAGGAGAAGAAAGAAGGCTATGATGCTATAAAGCCTCCTACTATCTTGTTTTGCCTCTCTTCCTCGAATCCTACAAAAAATGATGTACAAGTTTGCAGAAAAATTAAGGATATAGTAAGTGTTTTCAGAATTTCAGCCTTAGATTATGATCTCTTTGTATATAGGTCCTATCATAGAAAACTAGGGCTGGAAGGGACCTCGGGAGGTCATCTAGTCCAACCCAAAGCAGCACCATTCCCAACTAGATCATCCCAGCCAAAGCTTTGTCTAGCTGGGTCTTAACCTCCAAGGATGGAGATTCCACAATCTCTCTATGGGTAGCCTGTTCCAGTGGTTTACTACCCTCCTAGTGAGAAAATTCTTCCTAATATCTAACCTAAACTTCCCTTGCTGCAACTTGAGGCTATTGCTCCTTGTTCTGTCATCTGCCACCACTGAGAACAGTCTAGCTCAGGGGCGGGCAATTATTTTGGATGGAGGGCCACTTACTGAGTTTTGGCAAGCCATCAAGGGCCACATGACAGGCAGTCAGGGGCAGATAAATATGAATTTTCTAAATTTTTTTAGGTGTTCTGTGGGCCAGATGGAATGGCCTGGCAGGCCACGTTTTGCCCACCGTGGTCTAGCTCTATTCTTTTTTGAACGTCCCTTCAGGTAGTTGAAGGCTGCTATTAAATCCCCTTTCAGTCTTCTCTTCTCTAGATTAAATAAGCCCAGTTTCATCAGCCTGTCCTCAGAAGTCATGTCCCCCAGTGCCCAAACCATTTTTATTGTCCTCCACTGAACTCTCTCCAATTCGTCCACATCCTTTCTGTACTGAGGGGTCCAAAATTAAACACAGTACTCCAGATGTAGCCTCACCAGTGCTGAATAGAAGGGAATAATAGCTTCCCTTGAGCTGCTGGCAACACTTCTACCAGTGCAGCCCTGTATGCCATTAGCCTTCTTGGCAACAAGGGCATACTGTTGGCTCATATTCAGCTTATTGTCTGTAAACGCCAGGTCCTTTTCTGCACAGCTGCTGCCCAGCAAGTCAGCCCCCAACCTGTACTGGTGCATGGGATTGTTCCGTCCTAAGTGCAGGACTTTGCACTTGTCCCTGTTGAACCTCTGAAATTTCTTTTGGCCCAATGCTCCTATTTGTCTAGGTCACTCTGAATCCTAGCCCTACCCTCCAGCCTATCTACTACTGCCCCCAGCTTGGTGTCATCTGCAAACTTGCTGAGGGTGCACTCTATGCCATCTTCCATGTCATTGATGAAGACATTAAACAAAACTGGACCCAAGATCGACCCCTGGGACTCTCACTTGATACCAGTGGCCAACTAGACATCAAGCCATTCATTACTACCCTCTGAGCCTGATGCTTCAGCCAGTTTTGTATCCACCTTACAGTCCATTCATCCAGCCCATACTTCCTTAGCCTGCCTGCAAGAATGTTGTGGGAGACCATATCAAAAGCCTTGCTAAAATCAAGGTACACCATATACACCAGTCTCCCCACATCCACAGAGCCAGTAATTTCATCATAGAAGGTGATCAGGTTGGTCAGGCATGTTTTGCCCTTGGTGAATCCATGCCAACTGTTCCTAATCACCTTCTTCTCCTCCTGTGCTTACAAACAGATTAATTGAGGATCTGCTCCATGATTTTTCCAGGGACTGAGGTGAAGCTGATTGTAGTTCTGTGATCCTCTTTTTTTTCCTTTCTTAAAAAT